ATAATACACCATGTGGTGTAAGTTTGTTAAAATTTCCAAAGGGTGCCGTGACTAAAAAAAAGGTTGGGAAACACTGGTCTAGACTGTGCAGAGCTGGAATCTGAACGAAGGGTTTTCTGTATGTTGTGTGATGAGCACAGCTCTCAGCGTTTCACAACACTCCTGCTCTCATTGTTTACCAATTATTTGTGCTTTGTGTGTTTGCTGGAAAGGTTAGTTTGTGCCTGGTTCTTTGCTTCTGATAGCTGGTTTAGTTCCTGTGCCGAGCGCTGGTTAGTTGAGTGCATGTTTGGAGTCTTTCTTTAGCGTCTGAGTGTCCAGCCCCTCCAGCAGAGATGTGCTCATTGTGTTCAGAGTAACCCGAGTGCTGAGAGCGCGGCGGCCCATGAGAAAGGGTGTGCACAACTACAGGCCTGCAGTCTAGGCTTACGTGCAGGGCTGAAATGGATTCCCAGCCACTGGCTCTTCCACATCCCACCTGCGTGGCCCACAATGCCTCTTTGTTCCTGCCCCATGGCACTGTGGGATAGCTGTTATCCGAGAGGCAGGGGTTGACCACCACTGACTTTCTCATTCAAAGTAAAGATGGTGAATTCCTGCTATCCGGTTTCGTTGTGGCTGGCTCGGGCTCGTGAGAGCTGCTTTCTCATAGTGTGGGAGTGAGCTGTTCTGTTGTTGACTTGCACACTTACAGTGTTGCCGTTTGATTCGCGTTAAAGCCGTGCTGTTCTCGTCCTGAGCACTGAGTGTGAGAGTATTTGTCAATGCAAACAATCTAGTGGTCGACCGATAGTGGATTTTGCCGATACCGATAGCTAGGTTGGACCACACTGGCCGATACCGATTTATTAACCGATAGTTTTTAAAATGGATACTGAACAAAAACTAAAATAGTGCTTTATTAAAAAAACAGTTCTGAACCATACTAGTAGTAATAATAATAATAATAGCGTTTGGGTCAAAACAACCCAACCGCTGGGTCAAAACAACCCAATAGCTGGGTTTGTCCCTTTTTAACCCAGCGCTGGGTTATATTTAACCCAGCATTTTTTAGAGTGTAAATGTTGAAATTAACACACTCTAACAAGGAACAATACTTTCACAGCTTTCATTAATCTTAATGTTACAAATGGACTCTTATTTTAAAGTGTTACCATTTCATTTCAACAGTCATGCTTAAAGATGCACATCTTTAAATATACACAAAGGCCATAGCATTAAAATGATATACATATGGATATTGTATGTATACGCTCACACTTTAACTGCTTCTATTCTTGAACACTTGATGATTATCTAATCAAAATAAAAGCGCAGCGCTGAGTCTAGGAGAACTCACACACTCCGGACGCGTCGCGTTCAACTCGAGCAGCGGTCTAAAAGAGTTTATTTAATCACCAAACGGACACAAGTTTACTTCAAGAATGAACAATGAGGCATAGATGAGTTTGAAGTTCGGTGTTTAAAAAAACGGAGCAAACGGAAAAGAGAAAGCGAGATCTATATTATAGCTCTATAAATGAAGCATGCACACTTTATTAGAGCCACAGAAAAACAAACATTTAGCTGAAAATGCACAATACACAATTCATTATGTACATTAACAACGATTCGGGACTAATAAAATGTAATTTAATTGAAAACTCTGTGAATGGCAGGATTTTCTGTCGGCTGCATTTAAATCCGCGTCTGAAGTTTCCCGCTCTAAACAAATAGCACATGCTGTCAGTGATTTCAACCACTAGAGGCTGCTCTCGCACTGTATAATGACAGGTTATCGGCATGAATTTTTGCCGATAACCGATAGTTCCAGCAATCAACTATCGGTGCCGATTAATCAGCAAAACTATACATCGGTCGACCTCTAAATTCGTCTGTACACTGGAAAACCTGATACCGCCTGCAGTTTGATAATGTAACGTTTATCAAAGTGTTCTTGCACAACGAGATCAATTCCTTACTATTGATAATACCAGTGCTGTTACCACCTGCTAATGAACACACATGCTTATGTTAAAAGTTAATGAAAATATTATCAAACGAAATTACAAAAATGGCATGTAATCAAGTCTTTATCAAGTAAGTGAAGATTTTTATCCAAGCCAACTGGTCAAGTTAAAAGTAAATTAGCAATAGCAAACAAAGATATAGCATTGCAAAGAATAGTACGAATAAACCCATTAGAACAAGGAGACAAATTAAGCTTTTTTCAGGTATTTAACAGCAGCATCAAATAGTCAAACATTTGCAAAGTGAGAAGAAAAAACCTTAAGTAATCATTAATAATAATAATACTAATAATGTTATTATATTAAAAAAAACAAAGCGTCAATCTCCAAACTTTTTTTTAATCCACTGTATTGTTTAATTTTATCTGTAATTTTTAGGGATGGGAAAAATAAGGTATGCATTTTTGTGATTTAATATTTGCTAATAATATAATTTAAACATGCCAAGTAAAGACAAAACTAAATGTGACATGTAGGTATTTATTATTTTGTGTTTATGACATTTATTTAAAAGTTACACTTTTTTATGCTTAGAAAAACATCTATTTAATAAATGTATTAGTGTTGATGACACTGGCCTTGTTTTAAAAATACTGCCTTTGTTAATTGTACATTTATTTGGCTGTTTAATCGCTATATTTAACACTATTAATTTTAATATCAAGTGTGGTTTATTCACAGTGTGATTACTTAAATTTAATCAGTTCACAGACTTGGTTAATTTGTTAAATACATGTACAGATGTATGTGTGTTAGGGATGTAACGGTATGAAAATTTCTTATCACGATTATAGTGACACAAATTATCACGGTTATCAGTATTATCACAGTATTGTTAAAATGTGCTGGAAATGTTAAAAAAGTACCGACACATAAATCGCTTCAAGTTTTATATTTAAAAATCAACAAACAACAAATAAAATGACTTTTTTGTTTGCATAATCACTAAAACAATAACATTACCAATGATGTTCGGATTTTAAATGACAACTTGATTGACAACAGTTTAATAGCATGTTGAAATATCTAATGTAAATGTTCAAATAAAGCTTTGAAAAAGTTTAATAAAAAGGTAAACCTCACATTTCAGCCTTTAAATAAAGAAAAGATACAAGTCAAAATGATAATTGATTAATAAATGATTATATGTATTTTATCTGCTCCATAAATCATTCTAGATAATTTATCTGAATTGTTTAAATGTGTAGAATCCACATAAGATTGTTTTTCATCAACCGGTCAAAATTTACAGCAGGGCATACAAATTCGGTCCGTTTTTGGCCAGACAGAAACTGCACACAGACTGAATGTAAATATAAGTCTGTGTAAATCCACTCGCTGACAGCAGGTGGCACTGATGGAAAAGCAGAATTAGCTATCTTAATAATCCTTAATAATCCTTGCTTAATAAAAGTATTAATTTCTATCATTTCTTTCCCCAAGAAAATAATAAAAATTATACTGACTCCAAGCTTTTGAATGGAATAGTGTATGTTACAAAAGCTTTTTATTTCAGATAAATGCTGATCTTTGGATCTTTCTATTCATCAAATAATCCTGAAAAAAAAAGTACTCAACTGTTTTACATATTGATAATCAGCAAATCAGCATATTAGAATGATTTCTGAAGATCATGTGACACTGAAGACTGGACTAATGATGCTGAAAATTTAGCTATGATCACAGGAATAAATTACAATTTAAAATCTATTCAAATAGAAAGCCATTTTAAATAATAAAAATATTTCAAAATTTTACTGTTTTTGCTGTACTTTGGATCAAATAAATGCAGGCTTGGTGAGCAGAAGAGAATTCTTAAAAAAAAAAACATTAAAAATCTTACTGTTCAAAAACTTTTGACTGGTAGTGTAGGCTGATTATTCTTATAGATTGAAACAAATGTGCTTCAGCCAGAAAAAAAGGGTATGAAAAGTGCTCTGAAAACAAAAAAAATTGAACAACAACAAAAACTGGATATGTTGCTGGAGACAGGCTTATTTAAAATGCAAATTCATTCTCTGCCAGCAGGAGGCGCTTATAGAGTGATAAAACTAACAGTTTACCCGGCTGTAAACAAAGCAGCTCCGCTCATGAACGCTACTTTATCAGATAAAAATGAAAATGCCATCGAAACTTTTCTGAAGACAGTCAGTATTCAACGAAGTCAAACACTACAAATAAAATAATGTATGGGAAACACTGGTAATGTATATCGAAATATCGGAAATGTGTTTAAAAATCATATCACCGTTATTGGAAAAAATTATATCGCGATACATATTGATATTGAATTATTGTCCAGCCCTAGGTCCTGTAAACCCTCAAAACATAAGGCAGCATGTTTTTTTTTGTCATTGTGTGAACTCTGACCAACTCAATGGAAATAAAAACACTCACAAGGGCATCTCTACCCTCTTCCTGCAAAGTACCATAATTATCTTTAACACACCGCTATTATCGTTGGCTTGACCTTCCGTTTTGAAACCACGGTTGGCTGTATTTTTAATACAGCATGTCAACTTAAAACAGCCTGTCCCTCTTCCTACAAGACCTGCTGCCCAGTCCAGTAAACACAAAAGCAGGTGGTGTCATCTCTCTTGTTTTCCTGGAGCTTACTGTAATTTCATGATTGACACAAACTATAACCACTATTTTGCAGCTAGCCTTACCGTCAATTACCGTCAAACTGTGTAGAAAACATGGTAATGTTACTGTTATTTTTTTTTTTCGTTTGTAATTTTAGTATCATGCTTGAACATTGTTTTAGTTAATGTCAGTTCATTGGATTAGCCCCACAGTTTTTGGTGAAGTATTAACAGTCGGTTGGTCAGCAGATAACGGTTCTGTAAAATAGTTGCTGTTTTTGCAGTTGCTGAGACGTCACTGCACTTCCTCATTTGGTTTGACTGGGGGAGCACAGGAAGTCTGGCTTTCCTGTCCTAGGGTTGTTATTGTTATGCAGCGCTCACTGCTGCTCATTGAGGAAGCTGAAAGAGCCGACGGGACACCAGTGATCCTGCTGCTGGGTAAAGATGGAGACCAACAGCGGCCCACCTCTCGCTCCTCATCCTGCCGCCACATGTGGATACACAGCGCCAAATGGGTGCTTAGACTCTCTCTCTCACTGCCTGTCTTTCTCAGTCCTGTTTTTGTTCTGTCTCTCTCTATCTCTGTCTCTGTTGGGTGGTTCAGGGGCTTTTCCACCATTCACTTTAATGATGCTTAACGAGACCCTCAGTTGTGATTGTGATCTTATGTGAATTGGTACATGATGGGTAAGTCCTTTCAGAAAGATAACGCAGTTCTTACTGTGCAGCGTTTCCTCCGTTTACTACAGAAAAATAGTGACAGAATAATTCAGTCTCCTAAGATTCATTTATTCATGGATGAGACCTCTGTGCATTTATCACTGCATTTTGATAGATTGCTTGTGTTGTTCCTCGTTTGGATGAAAGTGGCTGCTAAATGAATAAGTTCACTGCTGAGGATAGTGCTGTTGGCTTGTCTTAATTTCATTTTAACCAGTCTTTTATTTCATCACATTCAATTTTGATTGCTTGTTTTACACAGAATCTGCACAATGTTCAACGGCTGAAAATTGGCATTTTTAATTCTCGGCATCAGCTAAGTGTTATGTTTGGGACTTTTATGTTAAAGGGGTCATATGATGCGATTTCAAGTTTTCCTTTCTCTTTGGAGTGTTACAAGCTGTTCGTGAATAGATAAGATCCCTGAAGTTGCAAAGACTAAAGTCTCAAAACCAAAGAGATATTCTTTATCAAAGTTAAGACTCTGCCACGCCCCCTAAAAACGGCTCGTTCTAACACGCCCCCACATATCTAGGTCACTATGTGGGAAGTCAACATATTCTGTTACACCAAATACACAAAATAATGATCTTTAAAAAAGCATCATATGACCCCTTTAACAGTGCCAAGACGCAGGACCCTGTTCTAAACAACTTAATTGTCGAACAAAGACAGTAAACTAATAATGTCTAAAGTAGGGATGTTAATTTTCGATCATTTCCATGATCGATCGTCGTTTCTCACATCAAACATTATTATGTGAGTATTATGACCAGTACTTAATTTGATCCTGCTGGATCCTGTTCAGGAAAATGTCAGATTTTAAATTCTTGCGTTCCGGCAGGCCTATTTGTTTTGAAAAATCCGGCATTTACGGTGCATTAGATCGTGACCGTGCATGCGTGCATACAGACGGAGCGAGCGCGGGTTTGGCTAGATGTATTTGGAGCTTATTTGGCATACAAAGCGGACCAGTGACTGTATTTTATTTTGATAATGAACAGACTGCGATGTAAGTTTGAATTGCTAGAATATGTGGGGTGTGTGCGCGCAAGGCGCGATCAAACAGCTGAAACATAAAAAACTCCATTTTTGTAGTAAGATGTAATCCGCAAAAGTGTTTACTTTTATTTTTGCACACTCACAATAAAAACAGAAGGTTTCTGCTTTTGCAAAATAAAGCAAACAAACAGAATGCGCGTTGTCATCCTTTTCTTTCCGTGAACTTGTTTATGGAGCGCCGCGCCACACTTCTGTTTCTCCGGGAAAACGTATAGTCAGTGTCGGTCACAGCGCCTTTTAATTGCTGTTTTGAATCCAGTAATTATTTATTTACAAATTATAAGCTCTGATTATGACAAGTGTGGTATAAAAGCTTTGTTTATTAGAGGAATATTTGGTTAGCTGGAAAATCTTACATCGCGACCATGCTTTGGGATGCCGTTCGAGCCCATTTAGCCTACATTCACGCGGCTTTGGTCTGGTTTGCCGGTTGGTCATGAATTTCCACAAATTCAATAATATTTAGGCATTGTTTCTTTTCCTAAATCCTCACCGTCTAACCCTCTAATTTCGCAGGTTTGTTTTATTGTCATTCACTTTTTATCACTGTTTTCGCATCTAAGGGAAATGAAAGATTGCATGGCCGTGAATTAAGAATTCGTTGGATGTAATAATTTGTTCCCTCATTTTTGTTAAATCATGGGTTATTTAAGGAACAAAATTAATGAAACATATGAATAGCCTATCTGTCCTGTGTCCCGCAGCCCTGCAAAGCGCAGAGCCCGATATGAAAGAATTATCTGGGGAAATGACTTAGTTACTATATTTCTATTGCTTTCCATGTTGAAGAACTTTGTGTTGTTTCTATTTTAATGTACTTTAGTCACATTAAAAACTTAATTTGTACATTATGAATGAATGATGATGCATTTATATACCGTCACCGTCACTCACAGCATCTCTTATCGACAATTAATCGATCATCGATTAATCGTTGGCATCCCTAGTCTCAAGTATTAGAAATCATTAAAGTAATTTGAATTAGAAATGTTGAATTAATTACATATGTTTGCCTTTCAATTTATAGTAAATAATGATTCCCAGTGCACACGGGCTTACCTGATTGAGTACACTGTTTGTTAGTGTTGAATTCATTTTCTGTCATGCTTTAAACTTTTTTTTTTTGGTAGTAAAAAATATTAAGAGTGCTTTGACACAAGCACGTTTGGTGCACGCCGGGTTTGTTTGACGTCAGAGTTTAATTTGTTTGGGTGACGTGAATGCTGCCAAGCTCACGCACACTTGCGAACCGTACCAGATTGCTTTAAAACCAGAGAGAATGTTTATCAACTCCAGCAGAAATGCTCCTGAATCCTGTGCTCTTTTTTATTTATTAATTTTTTTTGGTGTCGTCTTTTTTAAAATAAAATCAAAGGTTCAAAAACCAGAATATAAAAGTGAGGCAAGCAATGTTATTTTTCCGCCGCCTCGTTATTGCATGTTTTTTTTTTTTTTTGCATATGTATCTCCAAGATAACTAGTTTGATATTGGCTTTATATTGGCCATTGGTTAAACCTGATTAGCCATCAAAAAATCAGTCAAAATCAGTCGCCCACTAGTACACATCTGTGCTGATTGTAGGAAAATATCTGTAAATATGGCTAAAGTAAGTTCTCACACACACACACACATGCTTATTAACTTTCTTCTCTTTGCAGTCGAGACATGGAGAGCAAGGAGACTCTGCGTGGGCTGCAGAAGATGGAGGACCGGCCAGAAGAGCGCTTGATCCGAGAGAAGCTAAAGGCCACCTGTATGCCCACCTGGAAGAGCGAGTGGCTGGAGAGGCGCAGCAGGAGAGGCCCGATGGTACGGGACAGTTAATCATCATGACTCAGTTCATTTTCTGTTCATCACTAGGTTATGTTTTTCTGTAACTGTGTGTCAAACAGTTACTAAAGTTATAATAGTAAGAGTATATAATAAGCTTTCATTTGTTAACGTTAGTTAACCACATTTAACTTGGAACAGTACCTCTGCAGTATTTTTTAATCTTAATTTTCTAATTGTTTTTCAATTGAAAGTTGAGTCCGTGTACGTCTGTTAGCATGAACAAGCAATTAAAATTGTATTGTATAAACTAACATTAACAATGAACAATATTTTTATTACATTGTTATATTTGTTAGTTTGTGTTTAGCTAATGCTAATTATAAAGCTAGTTTAAAAAAAAAAATAGTTCTGGCCTCACATACATGGCCTATAAACAGGACTCAATTTGAGGGATACCATTTGAAATTTTTTTTTTTTTTTAAGTACATTTTATAATTAGTGTTTTTTTTTATTTTATTTTTTTTAAGCTAATTAAATGGCTTCAATTACCAGCCTAATTGTAACTGTGGTGTCAGGTTAGTTTTTTTCCCCACATTTTTTTCAAATCGGAACAGTCATGATTCTCTTCCATTTTATTCAAATGGCATTACTGATTTTCTACAGTACTACAGTTAACAATTAAATCACTGGATTAATTAACTAGTTAACTATTGTTAACAACTGTTAATGGTTAAACCATTTAATCACAAGCCCTGTTACCAAAAATAGTAGGAAAATGTTTGGACAAAGAAACGGGAAGTGAGAAGTTCTGAAGTGGAACGGCTCCTCCTGAGTTCAGCGTGCCTTCCTTACATAACCGCCAGAACAATCGACCCTGTTGATGGACTTTCACTCTGTCTGCCTTAATGCTCCACTGCAGTGTCAATGCAGTTAAGACTGTAATGTTTCCTTATTGGAAATAATAATTTATAGTAATGCAAAACATTAACAAGAAGGCTTTTAAGCTGGCATCTGTCTGTTAACAGAGCAGTTATGGATCAGTGTCCAAATATTGCCCGTTATGACACATAACTACAAGACAAAATAAAAAGGCAAATGAAGGCACAGGAAACAGGATGGAAATGGTTTGGCTTTTATTTTTATGGTATTTTTATCAGTGTTTTCTTGTGTCATTGTATCTCAGGTAGTGAAGCCCATTCCTCTGAGAGCAGACGGCACTGAGGCGGGAAGCGACAATCACAGCTCATCTTCCTCTCAAAGCAGAGGTCATCGCAGCCCTTCACCTGGACCTTCCTCCTCCTCCTCATCCTCCACTAAGACCGCTGGGAAGCCTGATTCTCCTGGTCTGCGCAGACGGAGAGCCTCTCCGGTGCCGGTGAGTTTTGAGATGTTTTGAATTCAAATTTAATCTAGTTTGAATTTGAATTGATTTTTTGGTATGAATGCATGCTTTGAAAATATCGTGTGACAGGGATTCCACTGGTCTGGTTCAGCCAAAAAAAAAAAAGTCATCAAGACAATAGCATCATAATGCATCTCTACAAAAGACAATTGACTCAACCAGCTTGATTCAGTTCAAGTTTCAAGTTCAATTTTTCCAAGTTAGCATTTAGGTGTCTTAAAAGTCTCAAAATCTGTTTTGCTATGGAGCTGATGTGTTTGTCTGAATGTGTGGTTACAGAGCGGGAGGGTGACGCCCCCTCGGAGAGCTCCCTCGCCTGATGGCTTTTCCCCATATAGTCCAGAGGAGACCAACCGCAGGGTCAACAAGGTCATGAGAGCCCGCCTCTACCTGCTGCAGCAGATAGGACCTAACTCATTCTTGATTGGCGGAGACAGTCCTGACAACAAATTCCGGGTGTTCATTGGTCCACAGGTACGCTAATACAGGCCTCTGACATGACATTTGGCAAATAAAGCTGAAATTACTTTATTATGTGAGAAGACACTCATACATAACTAGGCATGAAACTAAAACAGCTGGGAAATCGGTTGCCTGGGACAGCGGCCAATTAACTACAGGGTTTCTGCGGGTCTTAGAAATGTCTTAATTTGCCCTTTCACCAATTAATGCCTAAAAAGATCTGAAATCAGAGCAGAAAGTCTTAAATTCATAAATATGATTATCTTCCTTAGTATTTTTTTTGTTTGTTTTTCAATTTTTCAAATACCTAAACATTAAATACCTAAACAACAAACATTAAATCAAGATGCATATACTTGAGAAGCAAAATTAAGATATGAAGTCTTGTTTTCTTAGAAACTAAACAAAAGTAAGTGCCACATGCTTAAATTTCTTAGAAAACAACATTTATTACGTCATTTTGCTTCTCAAGTAAATGTATCTTGATTTAAGAATCATTTGCACTGCAAAACAAGGCTTTATTTGTTTATTTAATTTATTGGTAAAATTAATTAAAAAGTGAAGGAGATCTATTGGAAATAGTTTTTTCAAACTTTGAAGCATTGCTTATACAACACTTTTACATTTAGAGACCATATTGACATTGTGTTCCATTCAATTTATTCTTTAAATGTACTTTTTAAAAAGGTCTTAAAGGGGTCATATGACGCGATTTCATCTTTGTCTTTGGAGTGTTACAAGCTGTTCGTACATATGTAGTACATAAGTCTTAAAGATTAAAGTCTCAAACCCAAAGAGATATTCTTTCTAAAAGTTAAGACTCGATGCATCGCGATGCGGACATGGACGATTCTGCATCGATGCAGTAAAAGACCGTAATTGATTATAGCCTACTGACGTCATACGCGTTTGTCACGCCAGTATTAAAAATTATTTTTTTTAAATTCGAGATCTGGGCACATTTTTGGAAAAAACAAGCTTATAGTGGCAGTGGCACATGTGTGCGCTAGAAACAATCGCAGCGGCTTCATGGCACAGAATATGCGTGCTGTGTAACATGTGTGCATTGCTTGACTTATGCTTCCACCCGCCATTATTTCAGTGTTTTACTTTAGATATGCTTTCATTTATGCTGTTTGGAATGCAGTACGTATTAGATGCACGAAACTCGCACAATGACAGACTTTCACGTGTGCTTTGTGTTTGTTGTCCTGAAGCACGATTGCGGCTGCTGTTAAATGCACTTGCATCTCCGAATACTTTTATGATACGAAATGGATGTAAACACAGTCAGTTATGTGATGCGGACGATGCAGTAATGGACCATAATCGATTATAGCCTACTGACATCATTCACATACGCGCTTGTCATTCAAAATAGATCTGTGCATTAGTGTGAATGCAGCCTATTAAAGCTGCCACTGTCTATGATCTCATCAGTAATAATCGAACTGCAATTATGCTGAGGAAAAACAGAAAAATTCTTAACTTTGATTGTCTGTAAACTTTCGGATACTTACTCCGTAGCAAATTAGCTCAAACGGGAAATGTATGTAAATAGAGTTAATTATGATTAATTACAATTATTTATATCAGCTGCCAGTAGTAACTGTAGCAGAATTATGAACAGATTGGTTGATTGCCATCAACCAATCTGTTCGTCCAGCAAACATTCAGTGTAAATTCATATAAACTCTAGGAAAGGATGTTTCCGTGGCCACAGAAAATACTTTCATACCGTATTAATGCATTAGAGCATGTAGTAAGGATCAAAATCGTAAAGGGACATTAATTTGCAAGGCAGAATCAGAAACTCATGAAATTTGTGCACAAGAGTTTTAATAACTAAACACTAACACAAACTAGTCTAACAAACAAACAAACTATCACTCATACATGGGAGAGGGCAAATGAGGCTTGATGGATGAAGCCATCAGGAAAACCAGAGAATGAAGCTATGAAAAGAGTCAGTTAACCACCTGAGTGAAACCATCAGCGCCGTTTTAGAACGGGGTCTACAGCTTATACTAAACCTCTG